ATGTATGATCATTATAAAGATTTCGTATAAGTTTTTCTTGAAATAAAGTGCAAATATATATGTACAAGTATTTTAATAATTAAGAAAGCATAATATTTCACAGCAATAAGTATTCAACTAGACAAACTCCAAATTTCTTCATCTAATGAGCGTATTCCATCCTCAGAATCAACATCATTTTCATCTATTGAAATATCTTCTCTTCTTGATGTGTCAGTGAGAAGAAATATACCCAATATTTCCTTTAAAATGGTTCTTTCTTGGATTCCTTTCTTGGTACAGGTCTCATATTTGTTAATAACGGGTCAGAACTTAGTAGAAGTCTGTTGATTATGTCCATATTACAAAAGGAAACATAAGGAAACTTCATGTTTAAATAACCTTTAGACAAAATCTAATTTACGTTTAGGGACACAAAAGTAATTACTAAAACTACATTCGCGGTTTTCCGCAGCTAATTCTTTCTGATATTTTATCCGGGGAGATTACTCTTTCATTTCATCCAAAAAACGTAAGAAGAATAGATCCTGAAGTACAATTAAATCTTTCGAGTTTGATATCGAGAACGCAAAAAGATACATTATTGAATCTATTTTCAAAATCGCACGTGAATAACAATTCAATTGTAATAAATATAGTCAATTGTAATAAATATAGTCTAAAAATTATAATAAATATAGTCTAAAGCATTTCCTCATATCTTTCTCGAAACAATTTATAACGAAAAAATTGCGCTGCCACTTCTAAGACCTAACCTTGAAATTCTAATTGAAGATCGTATGTTATAAAGTTCGTTCGCGATAACTTCATGTTATCGCGAACGAACAAAAGCATAGCGGCCCATTATTCCATAGATATTCAACTGTCTAAGATAGTCATCCATGTAGAGCAAGGTCCGTAAATAGAGGAACGGGACAAGGTAAGATCCTCTCATCCACTTCACACGGTTTGGCTCGAAAATGGCGGCGACAGTGGCTCAGCTGAATAACTACATTCCGTCATGTCAAACATTATTTTCGTTTTTTGCAATATTTTGCACTATAAGCCGGCATTGTAATTGTTTTTCTTCTGAACATTCTCACTAGTATTTTGGAATGTGTTTAAACTATGTTTTGATTACTTCTGATTACATCTTGAACTATGTTTTACTGATTACTCTGTTCACTCACACAACTAAACTATAACATGTACACAACACCACCAATACAGATTCTCTGGCTCGAAAATGCCGGCCGTGAGGGGACCTTACCTTGTCCCGTTCCTCTATTTACAAACCTCGATGTAGATGGAATGTAAAATATAAATAATTTTAGGTATTATAGGTTTTTAAGATTATAGTGAAAATTATTTAAAATGAAATTACATGGTGAAATATTTTATAAATATAAGTAAATAATAAAAATCAGGTAAAATTAAGTTTTGTCAGGTAAACTAGAATTAGAGTAGTAGGAATGATTTTAAGAAAATTTTTTGACTTTTGGCCAATTTTTCAGGCCAAACATCCCACAGTGCGCCGCGCCGGTGCGAGTGTTTTTACATTTACGGCGAATGAAGCGGAAGCTTTCTTCAGAGCGCGGATAGTTCTGTTTACGTTAATCGGTAACTTTCATACGCCGTCATGTATATACGCGATCTGCCGCCCGGCCTGTCCATGCTGCTCGCGCGCGCGCCGCATACTTCGAATATATTTATTCGCCGACTGTGTGCGAGGAGCCAGAGCTCCTTCGACGTAAGTCTGGTCTAGGCGCGCTGCGTGGTGCGCACAATGCAGCCCCGACAACGGCGGCCCGCAAAAGGATTTATTGCACGTGCGAACTTTTCAACAGCGCCGACAGTTATAATTTCAGCTCGCGCATTGCCAAGCATGTAAATTGCCGCGCCGTCTAAGTAACTCTCTCTCTCTCTCTCTCTCTCTCTCTCTCTCTCTCTCTCTCTCTCTCTCTCTCTCTCTCTCTCTCTCTCTCTCTCTCTCTCTCTCTCTCTCTCTCTCTCTCTCTCTCTTTTCCTGCCTCCCCCCTTCTCTCTCTCTCTCTGTCTCTCTCTCTCTCTCTCTCTCTCTCTCTCTCTCTCTCTCTCTCTCTCTCTCTCTGTCTATGTCTCTCCCCTCTCTCTATTTGGAAAAGTATTGTTTGCTGGAATTCAGATTTGCATAATGACCAGGCGAATGATGTAGACACGAGCCGGATATATCGGGTGAGCCCGTAGGAATGCGCATCGGGAGAATAAAACGGAATACCAGCCGGTAATACGCCGTGCCCGGCCATTACGGGGAACACGTGTGCATCGTGGTGAGTCCCTCCTCGCCTCCCCCGCCCTCTCCCTTTGTTTGTCCTCTTCTTCCATCGCGCGGTTATTGTAACGCGCGCTCGATAAACCTCTTCTTGCCGGTGAAGAGAATCGGCCGCGATAGACTTTTATCGTGTAATCGCGAGCGACCAGGACTTTTATCGCGCAATAAAGGCTTATCGCTCGATAACTGCTTCATTAAGCGCCGTATAGAATCAAGGCGCGATCTTTTTTCTGCTTGTCGGACACGCGAACATCACATCGCGAATACTATAGTAACGCGAATCAACTACCAGCGACGATAACTGTTGGATCGAACGATCGGCTTTCATATCGGGGGCATCAAAAGAAAGACTAAGAGACATCCAGCTGTTTATCAGATATATCTGAGAAATAGACTCTCTCTCTCTCTCTCTCTCTCTCTCTCTCTCTCTCTTCTCTTTGTTTCACATAACTATCATCTAATTAACATTAAACCTATTAAAACAGTCCAAAGCGGTCGGTCTATAAATTGTTGAGAAAATTAGAGAGAAATTAGAGAGAAACGACGGTGCATGTTATTGGGATTAGGTTACTCAGTGGAGCTATTCTCGTAAAGAACAAAACAAGCCAGATTCTTCACAGTATATCACTAATTTTATCGCGACTTGCGCTAAGAGAAAGCGCGAACAAAAGCGACAGCAATGAAACAGAAGCAAGCAAAAGTCAGCGTATATACATTTTTTCCATATATATACAAGATGTCCGGGATCTTTTGGAAACGAAAAATTGTGACGATTAATCGGATCAAATTGAGAAGAAAAGTCAAATATTCTCTTGCAAAAATCGCAATAGGTATGAAGTTAATAATGATTGAAAAGGATCATATCTAGAGGCTTTTTTTTATTCAGGATGACCTAATCTAACCTAATTATATGATTCTTATTATGCCTAGCCACAGGTTTAAGATTTAGAGTTCAATGTTCAATATATTCATATCTATTGCTCGACACAATAGCCGTCATGTAATTGTAGATTAGGTCATTCTGAACAAAAAAGTTTCTTACCACTTTGCAAATAAGTATGTAAATTTTCAAATTATCAATTAAAAAGAAAACCTCTAGATAGGTTCAAGATTTAGGATTCAAAGTTCAATATATTCATATCTGTCGCTAGACACAATAGCTGTCACATAACTGTAAATTAGATCATTCTAAACAAAGGAGTCTTTTACCATTTTTGTAAATAACTATTCTCAAGTTATCGATAAAAAAAGCCTTCTATATGTGGTCATTTTCAATCATTAAAATTTAATAACTATTGCGATTTTTGCAAATTGGTACGTGACTTTCCCTTTCAGTTTGATCTAACTAATCTTCACAATTTTTCGTTTCCAAAGGATCTCGGATACTCTATATACAGAGTGTCCTATTTTAAATAAGCTAGGTAAAAATCTCGAAAAATATGAAATATACCAGGGACCGTTTTAGACAAAAGTTGTATGGTTTCAAGAGGGACATAAAACAAAAAACTATATCATTTTGTTTACAGATAGCGCCACTTTCGAGATATTCATTGATCGTTACCTTTTTTCAAATGGAAACTTCAATATTTTGTTATATCATCCTTTTCTACTAATTAGTTTTAACAACTTTTGTGTGAAACATTTTTTTATTTGTCTGATATTTTTTGAGATATTTAATATTAATTGGTAACTTTTTCAATATTTAACTTACGATATTCCGCTGTTTGTCAGAAGAAAAAATAGTACTAGATTTTTTTTACTCTATTTGGTCTCAAGAATATATTATTACAATAGTGCCCTAACTTTTGTTGACTTATTAAAATTTGGAAATTTCAAAATCATCAAATTAACAAAGGACGCTATTGTATTCTTCAGGGCATAATATTTTCTTGAGACCAAATAGAGTAAGAAAAGTTTAGTACCATTTTTTTCTTCCGACAAATAGTTAGTGAGCTATCGTAAGTTGAATGTTGAAAAAGTTATCAAATTTTCCTTAAATATTTCAAAAAATATTAAATAAATATAAAAATATTTCAGACAAAAGTTGTTGAAGTTAATTGGTGACATAACAAAAAATTGGGATTTCCGTTTAAGAAAAGTAATGACCAATGAATATTTCAAAAGTGGCGCCATCTGTAAATAAAATGATACAGTTGTTTCATGTCCTCCTCGAAACCATAGAACTTTTGTCTGATACATTTTTTTCTCAAATGCTTCGAGTTTTCGAGATATTTCGCCGTATACTTTTTACATACTTTTACACTCTGTATATCTATCTATATAGTACATCTATACGATATATGTTCCGCAACCTTTAAGTGTCCAAAAGAAACTTGACGTTACTAATTCTACCAACCTCATAGTAAAGAATTTTACCATTACATAACTGAATGTAGGAAAATTGCTCTCATATGCTAAGTAAAATGTTTAAAATAAATGTCAAGTGTCCAACACATGTTACATTATTAACTGACGTTGAAAATGAGACTAGGAAAAATAGATGATCATTTCCGTCCCTTTTACATTATTTATGCGCTTTGCAGAGACCCGTCGTTCTGACCGCTCCGGTCGCCGTGCACGCTGCTTCCAGTTTCAGCACAAATTACGCGTGTGCGAAAACACGTGCGCGAGATGAACAACGCAATCGTCTGCGTGTAGAAGCTTCGATCTTGGCGCGGCACGTTAACGAATGGCCGTCTCGTTGTTTCAGATCAACAGCGATCCGAACATTCTGCCGAACGTGACGTTGCTGATGCGATGGAACGACACGAGGGGAGAAACCGTCGAAGCCACCAGGGCAATGATCGACATGATCTGTGACGGGGTCGTGGCCTTCTTCGGACCGGAAGGCTCTTGCTACGTCGAGGCCATAGTCGCTCAGTCCCGCAACATACCTATGATCAGTTACGTAAGTGAGCTGCAAATTTCGACTATTTCCCCGGGGACTCCCGGGGGTTCTCTCTCTCTCTCTCTCTCTCTCTCTCTCTCTCTCTCTCTCTCTCTCTCTCTCTCTCTCTCTCTCTCTCTCTCTCTGTCTGTCTGTCTCTCTCTCTCTCTCTCTCTCTCTCTCTGTCTGTCTGTCTCTCTCTCTCTCTCTCTCTCTCTCTCTCTCTCTCTCTCTCTCTCTCTCTCTCTCACGACTGCCTTCCGCGGAGTGCTCGCACGCCGATTCGAGGCTCCACGGCGCGCGCGTGCGTCGTCAATGAACCCGCGTCCCTCTCGTTTATAAACGCGCTATTGTAATCGTGATTATTAATAGCGCGTATGAGAGCACGATACACACGGTATCGCGATAGCGGAGCTACGCGTGAGCGCATTATCTCGACGCTATGACGCTGCGCGTTTTACTTTCAGCTTTCGGACATGTTGTCGTTAAATTATAAACTCCTGTGACTCTTTTCACATTTTATGTGTATTTCAGCAGAGTTGGGAAGTAACTCGTTATACTTCCTGCAACGAAGTTACAGTTACAGTTATATATTTTTTTGGTAACTATAACTTAACTTTGATCCGTTTTTCCCGTTTGTAACTGTAACTTAATTACATTTGTTTGACAATAATTTGTTTGATAGTAACTAATTTAATAGTTACTTTATATATTATTTATTTATTATTTATATATTATATATTTCAAACTTAAGTTTCTAGCAGTCTAGCAGGATAACGCGACGTGCGATGCTTGATATCCAATAAATATATTATTCTGGCTGCATTTGGAAAACGCGCTATTGCGTCATCTATCTTTATCGTTCATTAGATATAAAACAAGGATAAAACGACGCTTAGTCTGTTAGTATTAGTGCTGATAGTTTCCGAACGCAACTTGTATTTCTTTCAAAAAAATTGTACGTTTATTAGATTTTTTCCATCGCGCGTCGCCAGTTCTTATTTGTTGACATAACCTGCGTTCAGCGTGAAGTACGCTGCATGGTTTCAATTATATAAAAAATTCAAGCAATGAATAAAACATCTCAATCTTCGGAGGAGGATTGTAAAATGCCATGGCCAGCATATGTAGAAATATTCGAGCAAAAATTTGAAAATGAGAACGATTGAGTATTTCTCTGCAAAATATGCACTGACAAAAGAATTATTCATGCAAGTAGAACTGCAATTGCAAATTTAAAAAAACATGAGTGTAAGTCTTTATTTATAAAATATCAATATATTTTTTAATGAAAAAATCTAATTTTTGATATTAAGATTACTTTTAGTATTTTTAGTATTTATTATCCTCGTTAAATTCATTCACTTTCTTATAATTGTTATTAATAGTCTTAAAAAATAAGTATGAATTGCTTTAATTATGTAAATTAATAAATCTAATTTATAAAAATTATATACAATACGAGAAATATAATAATCAACAAACTACTTTTATATAAAATTGAAGGAATTTACGCAATTATGAAATTGAAAATAATAACACAATTATTATAAAAAAGAAAAATTGAAAAGTAAAGACTCGTTATTTTCCAAACAACTATTCTCAAATAATTGTAACATATTATTTTTGAAGATCAGTAATTTGTAACTAGTTACTTTTTCAGTGAAATAACTATAACTGTAATTAGATACTTTTACAAAGTAACTTTCTCAACCCTGTATTTAAGTATGTTATAGACTTGAAAGCTTAACCATTTGACCATCATCAGAATACTCGGTGCGATTGTAACCCCCTCTGTCTCTCGAAAGAAGTAGAGAATGAAAGAGATTCAAATATTATAACGATGTTAAAATACCCTGTCGGATGATTTGTCCCTCGAGGGAACTTTAAGGATTCGCTCAATTGTAACGACAGACACACTTCTAAGGCACTTTCTTCGTGCGAAGAACCGGCCGCAGTAACAATTATTCATCGATCAGCTTTGTTCGGGCCACATCGCTGATTGTTACGCTTTTTAATCGTTGAGTGTTCTTACGCGCGTTCAGGCTCTCTCTCTCTTTCTCTCTCTCTCTCTCTCTCTCTCTCTCTCTCTCTCTCTCTCTCTCTGTATCTGTCTCTGTCTCTCTTTCTCCTTCGCTGCCGTTTGCTCGCGCGCACGCAATTACATCGAGGAGGAAAACTGCGTGGCGTTAACTCGCGAGTTATCAATGTTATTATCGGCGAAGTTAGGAGATTGTTGAAACCTCATGGCGCGTCGTTATCAGGCGGTTTCGTGCGGAGAAACCGGCTGAAGACAGTTTCCGGCGGCGTGAGAACGGCGAGGTTGTAGGCCACTGACGGCGAAGTCGGAGTCGCGCCGAGCCGCGGGAGGAGGCGCGGCCGCGTGAGGAGCGGAGGTGCTTAACGAAAGTGGAGGTGGCGGCGGAGGTGCGCCCGACAAATTGAACACCCGCGGCGTGACAATATAATTACGGTCTGTACGTGCGTGCGTGTGTGCGTGTACGCTACAATATGCGTGCGACGTCACGCAATGAGGCACGCAATCGCACCGCGGCTCGATCTCGCCAATTTCGGGAGGATAGTCCATCAGGACATCCGTCAAAGGACGCGCTTTGACTGTACTTTCGAATGGGTCCACCTTCCTGATTGGGATGAAACTTTTTAGGTGAATTCCAAGGATCGCAAAGTTGGCAAAAAACATGTTTAAAACAAGAAACAAAACATCGCGTCTTTTTTTTTGTTTAACACTTTTTTATGTCTTAAATATGCTTTAAACAAGCGCAAAAAACATATTTAACATATGGAAAACGTGTTTTAAACATGGAAAACATGTTTTAAACATATAAAAAGTATATTACATGTATTAAATGCATATATTAACATATATTAAATGCATATACGCATTTGATCCTTAGTATAGTTTAAACGTTTAATTTTTGATGCAGTTTGAATTGTAGTCGGTAGTTTAATAAGAAAACTTTTCTTTTTTTAAATCGTTTTACTTAAATAAGCTATGAAACGCGCACACACACACACAAAATGTGAATTTAAGCAAATAGATAGAGCAAAGAAAATAAGAATTAAGAAAATAAATATAATATATATATATACATGCATATGCAATAACTATTTTTCTTAATAATTGTGCAATAATGTATACATTTAATAATTTTATGTCCAAAATTTATATTGAACATCTAAAAAGTCACGTTTAAAAAAAAGCGTATGTTTAAAATTCTCAATCTTTAAAATATATTTAAAACTTTTGTTTTAAATAAAACATACCAAATCTGAAGGATCATATTAAAGTTAATTATCAAGACCCTAAGAGTAAGTCTCTTGAATAGTTTAAGAGATAATATTATAAAACTGAATATAAAATTTATATGCAAAAAATTCTTAGGCTTGACATTCACAAATACATGTGTTGAAAATGTACTTCCCAGGATGCATCTCTCACAAGTATTTTGTGGGTTCGAGGAAGTTAACAATTGGATTTAACATCCCATTTTTTTCGTATTTTTTGTTTTTTTTTTGTTTTTTATTTTTTGTGCTTTTTCATTTTTTTTTCATTTTTTCATCATTTTCATTTTCTTTCCATTTTTCCTAATTTTTTCGTTATTTTTCATTCTTCAACGTCTTTTATCATCTTCTTTCTCATTCCACCGTCTTTTTTCTTTCCTGTTCAATTATCGAATATTTCCACTATTTTTCTACAGTTTATGGTACTTATCGAAACATATATCTTTATATAATGCGACCTTGCAATTTTTACATATATTTCGAACTTGTTTTCGGATGCCATTTGCGAATAATTTGCAGTCAGCACTTAGAAAACCTGAACGTGGAGTTTGAATGAATTTATTCTTCACGAAAATACGGGAATTATCGTGCTCGATCCGCCATATTGGATCTATTTTGAATTTCGGGAATTTAACATGAAATTCGTATTCAGCATCACTAAAACGCCTCATGTACAGATTTCCAGCGAAATATGACGGATTTTAATTGTTGGGACTTCAGGCCCTTTTCATGGATTTGACTCGGTCCTTAAAAGGTTAAGGGTGCCTTATTTCGTAAAACTACAGTATCTTTAATAATCTCTAATAAGACCCCGATGTAGCAGTAGTAAGGTATCTCTTTTTAAGGAATCCTTATATTATTCTTATCGGAGCCTCACAATGTCCGAATTGACCCTAACAATTTTTTATTCGCGAGTCGAATTTCGAGGCAGAATCGTCAGCCGCGGCTTCGCGAATACGGGAGGCGTCAGCTTGCACGCAATCGGGACCGTTGTGTATCTGTTGAAATTGGCACACGTGCTATTTTCGCGAACGAATCTCACGCATTATCTATTGTATTCGCGAGGAAGCTGACGAGTTTAATAACCAGAGGCTGCTTCGTGTGCCGCGCGATTGCTGTCATCTCGCGAGCGCGCGGCGGAAAAGGCCGATTTTGACGGATTTGTCACAACGAATCACGCTCGTGACACATCGCGGTGACCACCGCACTTTATTACGCGCACGCGGTATGAGCTGTGCTTCTGACTAAAGCGAAAGTCGCATTGTTCCCCTTACCTTCGACGTGCAATATTTTATCGGGAAATTTCACACGGCCGTAAACACAGGTGTAAAGTGCAATTTATCCTTGTACGTTTCTAAGTATCAATTAACTGTGAGAAAAACTTTCGTACATATATTGTAATTATCATTCAAATACCGTCTCCCTGATCTGTCTACGAGTATGTTTTGAGCATGAAAGGCAAAGCGGCATTCTGAGGTTACAAATTAGAATATATCAACGCGAAATGAGCGACGGAAGGGGGGGGTTAGAATGTTCCTTGCCGAGCGCGCGGTGTGGCCTTCGTATTAAGCTTATATAACTTTAATTTTACCTGTATATACGGCTGAGTTTAATCTCCAGACTGCCGGAAACCCCTGTGTTTATATAAATATATTTATATACATACATATATTTTTATTCAAAATGACAGCTTAATTTTAGATAGCCAGTGGAGAATG